GAGCAGTGGCTGGGAGTACAAGTCCTGCAGGAGAATGCCTGATGGGCATCCTTGCTCTACCACTTGCTGGCTCTATGACCTTAGGTGAGTCACTTAACCTTTCTCTACTGAATTTCCACATCTGTGAAATAGGAATCATAATAATGGTCTCTATTTTCTTGCCTCTGTCCTAGTTCTGGTGATGGAGGACATCCTTGGTCTTCCTTGACTTGTGGATGAATCACTCAAATCTGATTCCTTCTTCACGTGGCATTCTCCCTCTCTGAGAGTCTCTGTTTTTGTTTGTTTTGTTTTGTTTAAGATGGGGGTCTCACTCTGTCACCCAGGCTGGAATACAGTGATACAATCATTACTCACTGCAGCCTTGACTTTCGAGGCTCAGGCAATCCTTTCACCTCAGTCTCCTTAGTAGTTGGGACTGCATGTGCACACATCATGCCTGGCTTTTTGATTTTTTTTTTTTTTGATAGAGACGTCTCACTATGTTGCCCAGGCTGGTGGTCTTGAACTCCTGGGCTCAAGCAATCCTCCTGCTTTGGACTCCCAAATCTTTCCTCTGTGCCCAGCTGTCTGTTTTCTTTTAAAGAAACCAGTCCTATTGGATTAAAGGCCAACCCTAATGACTCCATCTTAATTGGTCACATTACCCAACAGGGCAAAGGTCCTACTTCCAAATAAAGTTACATCCACAGGTTCTGTGGGTTAAGACTTCATCGTATTTTAGAGGGGACACAATCCAATCCCGAATATACAAGGAGGAACCCCCCCCAAAAATCTGGCATTATCTTTTGGAGGGCAGGCCCCATGTAATACACTCTCTGGATCAAACGGTCAGTTGAAATTTTTTTCTGAAAGTTTTGAGAAGGTTGCATAACAATTTGTGCAAGAAACATCCCGAGTTGTGGCAAACACATGACTGGTTCTTCCGCCATGACGACGCACCTGCCTACACAGTGCTGAATGTTCAGCAGTTTTTGACCAAAACAGCATGACCTCATGGCCCACCCTCCCTATTCACCTGCTCTCACCACGATCGACTTTTTTTTGTTTGTTCCTCTGGATGAAAAGAGTCCTCAAAGGGAAACATTTGCAGATGCGGAAGAAGTGAAACAAAAAATGACAGAGGCACTTAAAGGCATCAAGATTGACAAATTCAAAATGATTTTGAGCACTGAATTGTGTCTCAATAAGTGTATTGCATCCAAACAGAGAGTACTTTGAAGGTAACTGAAGTTTTATCCTGTAAGAGTAAATACATAATTTTTATAAAGAAGTTATGGGTTCTTGGGGTCCCTCCTCTATACAAATGTAAAAAAGTTTTAAAAATAACAATGCATATCCATAAAATCACCACTAGATTCAGCAATTGTTAACATTTTGTCACTTTTGCTTTTTCTACCTTATTTGTTGTACCATCTTATTCCTAACTATTTCTTCACGTATCTGCTAAGACTAAATTTATTCTTCTACATAACCACATTACCATTTTATCATACCTGTACAATCGATAATAATTCCCTAATATCAACTAATAATCAGTTGCAGTAGATTGTATTATTGCTCACAATCATTCCCACTTCCCCTCCCTCTAGGAGGGTGTTGCACCCCATCTTATCATCTCTGCACCTGGCCATATTGCTTTAGCAAAGGTGTTGTGAGCAGCAAGATGCACACTACACGGTACAGAAGCTTTCCACATCCTTTCCTGGGTTTCGGAATGTTACAATGCAGGGATCAAAACAGCGATCCGGAGTATAACCATAGCCAACCAGCAGTACAAGTGATTTGAACAAGAAATAAACTTTGGTTTTATCAGACACTTTTGTTTTATCAACCACCAAAACTTAGGGTTGTTTGTCACTGCAGATTTCCCTAGGAAATTTAGAGCTTTTTTTTTGTTTTTTTGAGTCAGAGTCTCACTCTGTTGCCCAGGCTGGAGTGCCTTGGCCTACTCACAGTCACCACCTCAGTGTCAACCTGCCGGGCTCTGGCAATCTTTCCACCTCAGCCCTCCAAGCAGCCGGAATCACAGGCGTGTGCCACCACACCCACACCCAGCTAATTTTTTGATTTATTGTAGAGATGAGGTCTCGCCAAGCTGCTCGGAGCTGGTGTCGAACCTGCGGGCTCAGGCAATCCACTCGCCTCGCCCTCCCAAAGTGCTGGGATTACAGGCTGAGCCACCAAGCCTGGTCTAGAGCTGTTTTTAATGAGTGTTGGGTCAGTATCCAGTCAGTATTCTCGCATTGTATTTGATTGTTATGTCTCTTAAATCTCTTATTCTGAAACAGTTCAGACCTAACTTTTCTTTCCCACCTTTCCTTTTTTTCCACTTCCTCCCGTTCACCCTTCTTCCTTTCCTTCCTTCGCTTCTTCCTTTCTTGCCCTCTTTTTTCTTTTCCTTCTTGAAACTTACTTTTTGAAGAAGCCAGATCAGTAATCTTACGAAATATCCCATATTCTGAATTTCCTGACTATATTCTTTTGGTGTGTTTTAACATTTCCCTCTAAACCAGTACTTCTTGATCTTGGTTGTACCTTGGTATTGTAACCAAACTAGGTTTGGCAGCTCATTGCTCAAAAGCCAAACACAAGAGACAAGGATTGATGAAAGGAAATCAGTTAGTTCAATAGCTTGCAACCTGAGTAGATGGTAGACTAATGTCTCAAAAACCATCTTGAGTTTCTCAGGATGACTGGAGGGCTTTTGAAGGGAAAGGGGCCTGGGAAAAACTACATGCAGGGGTTGGAAAACTTCTTTGATTTTGGTTGTCTCAATGTTCCTTTAAATCTTTAACAAAACATGGTTAGCGTACATACTCCCTTTCTTCCCTTTTAATGTGTGGAGAAGGTTGTGACTCATTGATTTAATGGGTAGATCCATTTTAGCTCACAATGTGTTTGTCACATAGTATCACATTAAGGGCTTCTCTGTAGACTTAGGTTATATTACAATTAGTTATACTAAATTTGATGACTGGCTTTAGGTGGTGACAGAGCTCTCCTTTGTAACTTATGTTTTTTTCTTTATGATTAGCAAATAACCTGTGGAACAATATCATGACATTTTTGGAATATCCTGTCTCCCAAAAAATCTTATAAGTAATAGCTTTAGCATCCATTAGTGATCCTTACTTGAATCAATTATTTGATAGATGTTTATGAAAAGCTGACTTTCCAAATCTATTATTCTACATTTTGAACTAGCCAGAATTCTTTCCCTCATCAACTGGGTATAAACTATAGTGCCACATAAGAAGGCAAGGCAAATGCCTAATTATTTCTCTTTAATAACTAATTTTCAGAATATAGAGTCAGTGTAATAATCATCTCCAGTGGTACCAAATGTGATTTTCCCCCTTTTCGAGTATTGTTATTGACTTATGGATTTTATTTATTCAGTGTATTGCAATAAATTATTTTATTTTATTTTATTTTTACAGAGATGAGGTCTGGTTATGTTGTGTAGGTTGGTCTCAAACTCCTGTGCTCAAGCAGTCCTCCTGCTCTCCTTCCAGATTACAGGTGTGAACCACCGTGCTGGGCCTATAGTTATTATTCTTATTGATGTTCAAATTATCTCAAATTTGGCCAGTGGGAGCCCCCTCAAGCTGGCTCATCTTTTGGACATGCCCTCATTAGTCTGAGCATTTCCTGTGTTTCTGGCACAACGTGATGTCCCAGCTCACCTTGAATTTTCTCTGCCACAACGTGAAGCCAGTCATTTCTCCAAGTTTCCTTTACTGAGAAATGGTGTTTAGAAATCAAGAACTGGATGTTTATTGCTTCTGGGGTGTCATTTCATCTCCACCCAATGGACACAACTGGGAAATACATTTTTTAAAATTGTGAATTCATTTTGGTAAGTAATTCTTTAAAATTTGCCCAATGAATGTAGGATTCCTAGAGGAGGTAGTATTTGATTGTCTCCTGGGCAGCTTGGAGGAAGGAGATTGTGGAAGTAAAAGGTGAAGAATGAAAACTTACAGAAAACTGATTTCAAAGCAACAGGAAGAAAGGAAAAGTACAGGATGTCATGGGTTTATGTCCTGACTCTGCTATCTATGTGACTTAATGTACTTTTTCTCTGAGTCTTAGATTCCTTCTTTGTCAAGTGGAGATACGGGTTCCTTTTCTGCTTCTCTCTCAAGTTATCATGAGGATCAGAGGGGGTGATGACTACTAGTTGTGGTACTATTATGGAGATATACACACATAGTGATATAGATATATGAATTCCTGGGTGGATATTTAGGAAACTGGGGGGGAGGGTGTCAGAAACTGGTAACAGTAATTGTCTAAAATATGTGAAGTTAGGAATCAGTGAGCGATTTCTCAACACATATCCTTTTATATTATTTGAGTATTTTTCTTGAGGATGAAAAATAGTATAAGTAGGTATAAGTAGTCAATGAATTTGAAAGATCCTTATAGATCATAAAACATTACAAACATTAGGATTTTATCATTACTGTTATCCACCAACTACAAGAAATCACACACTGAGTTCTGATTATTTAATGACGAAAAAACTGAATAAGTGAATGTAGTACACCCATGTGTTAGAATACTGAGTCCGTTTTTTTCTCTTGAAAAATCACACTTTGGAATAATCTATGACATTGGAAAATACTCAAGTTCGGTGGAAAAAACCTAAAAATTGTATAGGTGAATGACTCCAATTGTGTGTTCTCTGTGGGATCACACATACACAAAGCGAAAAAAGACTGGACGGAGCTATCCACAATGCTTTGACGGTGGAGAAGGGGGTATGTAGTGCTAATTTTTAAAATTATATTTTGGGTATGTTCTACTTTCTACAATGAATTAATAATACTTAGAACAAGGGGGAAAAGTCACAGATACACCTTCACATTAGGTCAGAAGATAATTTTTAAAACTTCGTGGGAGTGATTTGTTGTAGATCGGAAGCAAAAGAACAGCAAGTGGAGAAAGAGGGAAGAATCGAAACCTCCCGCCTGGTGCCGGCGTGCAGAGAGAACTACAAGGAGAGGCGAGAGCAATGACATCCTCCCTGCGGCTAGAGCGGCCGCGACGAGAAAGAGACTTCCTGGGCGGGGCTAGCATATTCTTTTCCTTCCGGTAGGGGGAATGTGGGCCGCCTGCGACGTCAAGGTTCGCTTTTGCTTGGCCGCTGCTTCCGTCACTCTGAGACGGCGCCTGAGATTGGGGGCGACCATGGCAAAAAGCAAGTTCGAGTACGTGAGGGACTTCGAAGCTGATGACACCTGCCTGGCCCACTGCTGGGTGGTAGTGCGGCTGGACGGCAGGAACTTCCATCGGTGAGCGAGCTCGGCCCGGGGCCGCGTGGTGCGCCCCACTTCCGGGGAGTACGGCTCCTGTCCGCGCAAATCCTCCGGTTACCGCGGTAACGCGGCAGCCAATGAACGCGCGATTTGGGGCATCGCCTTGCGTGCTGACTACAACGTGCCTGAACACGGAATGGTTAGGCTGGTTGAATGGGTGAGGGGCTCTCCTGGACAGGAGTTGGCCTGGAATGTCTGTGTGAAGTGCGCTGAGACTGTTAGCTAGGACCTGGTGGAAAAGTCACTCCCCGGCCCAGTACCTAAGCTCTTCAGTCAATTGCCCAGCTATACTGTTAAAGATCTTCGAATGTTGACTGTTCAGAGGCCTGTGTAAGCCCTGCTCTGGGCAACACTTTGGTCCGTGTTTCATTATCAGTAACAGACCACATGGACTGGATTCAAGGAGTCAGAAAGGAGGGGGGGATATAACAGAAAGATGGGAATTTAATGTTTTTAAAGGGTTGTGTTATTAATAGTTACCATTGTAATTACTTTTACATTTACTAGGAGCCTGATATAATTTTGTTTATCTTCCCCCTAATCTTCAGGACAAGCCAACGAGGTAAATAGTCTATTCCCATTTCACAGAAAAGGGAACTGAAGCTTAACAATTATGCCCCCTTTTCTTGTCCAGTTGGTCAGGACAAGAAAAAACAAGAGTGCTTAAGGAAATGGATTAGGGTATGGCTAGTGGGGTGTTTGGGTTCACAGTGCTGTTATTTATTATAGACTCTTCCTCTTTGAACATCCTCTGTAATCTGTTGTTAATGACATGCTCTCTTCCATCCATGTCCTCTTCTGTTCTCTTTCCCCTGTGAAGGTTTGCCGAAAAGCACAACTTTGCAAAACCTAATGACATCCGTGCTCTCCACCTGATGACCAAATGTGCCCAGACCGTAATGGAAGAACTGGAAGATATTGTGATTGCATATGGACAGAGTGATGAGTACAGCTTTGTGTTCAAGCGGAAAAGCAACTGGTTTAAAAGAAGAGCCAGGTAATTCCATGACCAATCTTCTTTCTTCAGACTATTTCCTTCCAGCTTCGAGTTTTCTGTTTATCTTATCACAGACTTGCAGACTACAGTTGATGTCTACAGTATTTGTAAGTGCAGAGTAGATGTATACTTCCTGTTTAGACTGTTGTATACTTCCATCTGAGCATTTTATATCCCTCTTTCTCTGATTCTTTTTCCTCTATGCCCCATCGATTAAATTCTAGACTGAATTTAATCGATGGGATTGGCAGTGAACATTAAACAGAGACCATAAGAATGTAATATTAATGATTCCTAGATTGGCTTTAACCAGTGACAGTCTCCACATGCATCATAAATTGCAGTATTATTTAAACATTTAATTAAGGAGGATCTCATTAGAAAATACACAAATCTGATATTTGATTTGGCAGTATTTTAAAACTCTTGCAGGAAACAAATCATGTAATGAATTGACATCTTTCTAAAACAGTGGTTCCCCTTCTTCTAAGACTAAAAACAAAAACAAAAACAAAACCTTCCTAAACCATAAATTCGTATAATATTTACAGAAAGATATTTAGTATTAGTAAATTACTTAAAGACTGGAAGGAGAGGCAGGCTACATTTAAAATTCATAACCAAGATGTTAAGTTTTTCTCAGCCAAATGCATTTTATCTCTTGGCTTGCTGGGCAGTTCTTGTAATCTCCCTGTTGCACCCATAGGCCCTATCAGGGTGTTGAGTTAATATTGTATATTTTCTCTTTTCTTGCTCCACCCAACATGCCTTACATTTACAAGTAAATTCATGACTCACGTGGCTTCCCAGTTCGCCTCCAGCTTTGTGTTTTATTGGCGGGATTACTTTGAGGACCAGCCCCTTTGGTATCCCCCTGGCTTTGATGGAAGAGTCGTAGTGTATCCCAGCAACCAGACCTTAAAGGACTACCTCAGCTGGCGGCAAGCAGACTGTAAGTGGCACCAAATAAATATATGTAGTTAAACCACCAATTCCATGCACTAAAGGTGTTGATTTGATACAGGTTTGGTTCATATGTATCTTGTATGGAATATAGATGTAAAACTTTTTTCAGTAAGTTAAAAGTATTTGAAAAATCAGCTTTTATGTAAAAAGTGCCTATCTTCCATTTTTTGAAAAATCAGAAGATGTGGCAAAACTGGGTCTGCATTCCCACTTAGTACTGGACAGAGCCTTGCAGTGGTGGTTTCTTTTACACACACACGTGCGCGCGCTGGTGTGCCACAGTCTCTGCCATTCTCTGTTGCTCCCCTGAGGTCATTGACTGTTTTACACATTTATGTTGACACCAGCCTCTGGGTATGAGTTGTGATCTCTGCCTTACATGACTGATGTTTGTGAGATTTTTCCTCATTTGTTATATTTTGATTTTGCCAGAAAAACTGGAAAAGAGATTGGAAAAATACAAACCAAATAACTTCACTTGTATTCCTTAGATTAACGTACAAGTTAACGGATTTGTGTAAAGTATAACTGAAATGATAAAACTGTTGTTAGGAAGTAAGATTTTTTTCTGCCTACCACTTTTCCTTTGTTCCCTGTTTAGGACTTTGGACAGGTCACTAAATGTCTCTGAGATGTCTTTACTTTAAAGAGGAGGGGGCAGGGCTCTAATGTTCCTTGAAGTATGAATATTGATTAAAGATTTTGTTTAAACATTACTATTTTGCACTCCTCACAGGTCACATCAATAATCTTTATAATACAGTTTTCTGGGCACTTATACAACAGTCTGGACTAACTCCGGTACAAGCCCAAGAGAGATTACAGGTATAATGATCTTACTACACGTAGATGGGAACAGTTTGCTATAGGCTCTCCAAAAACATTTTGTAATAATCCCTTTACATTCCTTTTTACCTCCCTTGACAGCTTTGTTCTGAAAGGATATAAACATCAATGAGTAGCAGCTCTACTACTTGCTTGGTCTATAGGCCTGGATGGGTTACTACCTCTCCCTTAGCCTGTGTCCTCAGTTGGAAAACACAAACACTGCCACTGTCTGCATTTCCGCATGCTGACTCTCGGCAGGAACTGTGTGTTAACTGCCTCTTTAGGCAGGGTATGAGCTCTGCTTTTTTGTCAGGCCCACTAGGCCTCTTCCCTCATTGCCACTCCCTGCTGGTTGCCTGTAGTTTCTTGGGGTTTTACCCCCTGTATATGGTAAGACTTCATGTTCTGGGGGCCAAATAACGACTCAAATCATTCTTCTGTTTAATTTTATCCTTTCTGCCTCAGTCCTAGGTAAATGTAAAAAATAGTAGTTTCTACCTCATAGGTTTATGGTGAGAATTAAATGGCATGATGCATGTAAAACACATAGAACATTGTAAAGCACATTGTAAGTGCTTAATAAATACTGGCTTTTATTACTAGATAACCGTGCTCCTTGTTGGGTGACTAACTCTGGAGTGAGGTAATGTGTTGTAACAGATAACACAATGATACGTTATAATCACTCAATAAGCGGCTGTTATTATAATTAATACTAATGATGAGGATTTATATGTAGCAGTAATAGGAATACTCGTAGGTGAAGCCAGGTTTGGAAGAGTCAAGCTCAGATTTTGATTCTTCTTATAATAAAAAGGACAATCTTCTGCCTTGGGAAATTTGTATAATCTTTCTAAGCTTTAGTTTCCACATTTCTAAATCGGATATTGTTGTGATGATCAAATTAAGAAAATAAACATGAAGTACCTAGTATATAATAAGTACTCAACTACTATTAATTCCTCCCAGTCCTTCATAGTCTTGACTTGTGAAATCAGTGTTTACTACAGAAGAAAATTTTATGAGTTTTCTTGTTTAGAGAATTTTATTTAAATAAGATTTGAATTGCTCTTAAAATGGAAATAACTACAGAGGGTGCCCAAAAATGTATACACACTTTAAGAAAGGAAAAACTATTAAAATTGTAATACTTAACATACAACAATAACAAAAGATGAATACAAATCATGTTTGGCTTCTACAATTACAAGGGTTGCTCAGAGTGGTTACCATCCGTGTCCAGATGCTCCTGATTACGGCGAACTACTGCTTCAGCGTTGTTAACCGAAGTGCCCACTTGTGCATGTTGTTTCAATTTCTTCCGGAAGTACTGCCAGTGTAGCCAGTTTTCTATGTTACACCACATCCTTTAAGGTCCCCCATAGAAAGAAGTCAACTCAGAAACCGCTCCAGAATTGTCTTGTGCTCCTCAAACTATAACTGTGCTTCTGCCATTTTCTTTGACTGTCTTGCCTGTGGCATGGTGACACTAGCATTCATTTGAGCAAACATCATACCGCATATTGCTACTATAATTCAACTTCAAAAAGTAATTCATGGATAACATCTCTTAAAATGTGTATACATTTTTTTTGGCACCCCAGTATAAGATGTTTAACAAAATCCTCCTCGTTGTTGATTGTGGAAGTTTAGATAGTGAATTGAATGGATGGTAGCATTATGGAAGAGAGAAGATAGACAAATTTTCTTGGATCTGTTTTTATTTCTTCAGGGAACTCTTGCAGCAGACAAGAATGAGATTTTGTTTTCCGAATTCAATATCAACTACAATAATGAGCCGCTGATGTTTAGGAAAGGGACTGTGTTGTTCTGGCAGAAGGTAATGCCTGTTCAAGAAAAAGTGGGGTCAGGGAAAGAGCCGGTGCCCATCCCACGCATTGTCCCATTTCCCCCTGTATGCTGATGTGACTACGGTTGCTGACACACACTAGATTCCTTCCAGATGGACATGCCATAGATTCTTACTGTGGATGGTCATTTTGTCAGTCAGTTGTGGTCTGGACTCTCTCATATGTGAGTAGAGTTAGCAAATTTTAGAATTAGTGTACTTCCATATCATAAGCTCTCTCATATCAGTTATAAAACTCTTTTAAAAGGGTGTGGAAAAGACAGGAGGATTTTTACATTCAGAATATTTAAAAAATACTTTCTCTCACACAGGATAAAGCCTTAATAATACCCATGACAACTGTAATAGGAGGCGCTAAAAGATGTATATGAGAATTTCATCACTTTCAGATATCTCATGAGATTCCCCATTCACACGTCATTAACATTCTGTAATAAGTTTGTACATTTACCTCAATCCGTATTTCTATGAGTATTTTCTCTCTGTACCACCTCTTGGATATAATGATTTCTCTAAATGTATTCCCTTCCATGTAAAGTGGTGTTTTTCTAAAATGAATGTTTTCAAATACTGAAGGGTACCTTGAGAGCTAATTGTTCCACTGGCAACTTCAGCTCTTGTATTAGTATTTTCCAGACACATTTGTTCTTTGGCACAGACTTTGATACCTTAGTGCAGTTGGGAGATGCATACTACCTTTAATTCTGAAGTTAGTACTAATGAGGAACATAGAATCCCCTCTCTGTTCCTGAGATGTCTTTTCAGAAGATAGTAACATAACCTTTTAAAAAGTATTTTTAATTGTAAAGAACTTCATGCATATTGAGATATATGTATATGTCTATGCAGATATGTGTGTGTGTGTGTGTGTGTGTGTGTATCTATATCTCAAATCTGGCAGTCAGAAGTACGTAAAGTAAAAAAGCGAACTTCCCCCACATCTTCCCCTTCTCTCCCAAGCCCACTCTCGAGTTAACAGTGTCACTACTTTACTTGTACTTGTAGGTGGATGAAATCACGACAAAAGAAGTTAAGCTGCCAGCAGAAATGGAAGGAAAAAAGATGGCAGTGACCCGGACCAGGACTAAGCCAGTGCCCTTGCACTGTGATATAATTGGGGATGCCTTCTGGAAGGAACATCCAGAGATCCTCGATGAAGACAGCTGACCTTTGCTCTTCAGTTCTGACTGCTTAGCCTTGCAAGCCCCTCAAGTCTCCCTGCCAAGGGGCCCTAGCATCCTGCTGCCCAGGACACTGCTGGGAAGACATGACTCGGCCCAGGAGGGAAGCAGGGAGGGAAAGGATGGGTGGAGGTGGCGCATCTTGTTCTGCCAAGCAGAACACCTTTTTTGCAGTGTTGGAATATGATTTCTTTGGTAGACGTGCATTTTTTTAAAATCCTGATACTATTTTTATAAAGCAAGAACTATTTCATGCCTTGCAGAATGAATCATTTTTAGAGTATGACATAAACCTTATGAAAACCTGTCAGCTCTTTTCACCGATGATAGAAGAAGAGCCCAAACTTTACTCTCACCCACCTGTTCTAAACTGGAAAACCCAGTGACCTTGAAAATCTCACCCCTGCCACCCATCTACTTGCATTCATATTCAGCAGACCTGAAGATAAATATGGGTGAACGCCTGCATGAAGCCTCTGAATTCGGGAACTGCGGGGAAGCTCAGGGCTTTGTGCCAGTCTCCAGGTTGGCAACTGTGGCTGAACAAATGAGTAGTGGTTGGGTGTCCCTGTGTACACATTCTGTGGGTTGATTTAATGGAGTTGTCAGCATGTTGTCACCATCTTCTAGCCAGGGGCATAGCTTCCAAGAAGAAAAAGAAGAAAAAGTTACTCCATATCCTCTGGATATGTTCGTTTTAAATTAGCTTTCCTATTGGACTTCCTGATAAAGATTCTCAGGTAGCCATTGTGTAATCAGGACAATGACATTGGAGTCCAAGAGCAAAGGGGTCAGTGTGCCTCTTGGGGGTCACAGGTAGCAGGTGTCAGAGGTGCCGTAACAGCTCCACCTGCAGCATGGGTGAGGAGCCTGAGAGCCACGGAAGTCGTCACCTGTTGCCAGCTGGTGGCCTCTGAAGGAGGGAGGTGGTGGGAATAGGTGGCAAGGGAACGCATGTCCTTGTTTTATATTTAGAGGAAAATTATTTGGCTCTAATGAGAATTAATTAGAGACGGCCCATATCCCAGCGTCTGGTCTTGCATTGTAGAATTTACAGATTCATCGACACCCAGTCTGTTGGTGCCATGTCTTTCCTTCCTTTTCTCCCCACTCCACAGAAATAGGAGGTATGGCTCTTGTTTGGTAATTGCTAAAATCCCTTTGAGGAAAAAATAAAGGTTTTAACTCCCTTGGCCTACATTTTCATTTATTTTTCTTCTACAAATGCAGCATATGAATCTGACTTCTGTGTGTGTCCCTGGGTAAGCCAGGTTGCACATGCCTTCCTCACAGCAGCGTTCAAAGGCTTCTCAATGCAAAAGAATGACGCAGAATGCTTGTTTGAAATGCTAATTTCAGGCTCTTATGAAGATTTCGGCACAGCAATCTGAATTTTGACCTCAAAGGCTTCTGATGAGCATGGTTGTCAGTATATAGCACTTTGGGCAGTGAGACCCTCTCTCTACTGTGATGGGCTAGGGGAGGCAGCAAGATAATGTAGCTCTTGACTAGCAAATTTAAAGGTAAGCTGGTAGCATTTTATATCAAATACAGTGAAGAAGGCATTAAAGTGCAAATTTTCAAGATCACCAGAGGTGTGCTTTCTATGGGTTTTATGTGGTACTCTAAAGGCTATCTTGATTTTGTCATATGACATGGGGGCAAGCACTGGTTGAACTCAGCAGTTCTGAAGATTTGAGATTTTTTGTTCAGCTGGGGGATTTTGAACAAAGTTATAAGCTGGGTTTAATGCCTGTTTCATAATGAAACCTGTGATGCTACTACTTAGAAGCCAGTGCTTGATGGCTCTGATGGCTCTTGTCTTTATTGTGATCTAAATACATACTCCTAGATATATTTCCTAGTTATATTAATTTTCACCTTGCTAAGGTGCTGTACCTTTTTTTTTTTTTTTTTTTTTTTTTTTTAGTCAGAGTCTCACTCTGTCTTACAGGCTGGAGTGCATTTGTTATGATGATACAAATGGCAACTTCAACCTCCTGGCCTGAGGCGATCCTTCCAACTTAGCTGTAAGTGTGGGCTACCACACCCGGCTACTTACTTTATCTTTTGAAGAGACGAGGTTTCACTATGTTGCCCAGGCTGGTCTTGAATTCCTGGGCTCAAGCAATACACCTGCCAGAGCCTCCCAAAGTGCTAGGATTATAGGTGTGAGCCACTCTGCACGACTGAATAGTATTCTCTTGAACTTCCCTTTCAAGTCTTAAGGAAACATACCAAAACATCCCAGGGTTCAGTCAGGATCTTGTTGTTTGATGCACAGAAAGCCAATCACCGAGACAATCAGTACTGCCAGGGAAGAAGTCTTCTTATCAGGTGACATCAGCCATGGAGAATAGGAGATTCCTTCTCAAATCAATCCATGTCCTCCCAGTGAAGTCAGGGGTTTACATGGGGGACAGGAATCTAGAAAAGAACTGGGGAAAGGTTGGGAAGAGGAGTTCGTAAACAGGATTTGAAGCGGAGGAGTTGGTGGACAAGTGGGATATGGCATCTCATCTAGATGCTGTGGTCTGGTGAGTTTCACTTCCTTGAAACTGTAGGCCCGAGGGTCTGTTTCCTGAGAAAGGAACTCAGAAAAGAAACAAAATGTAAGTTTTAAGCTTTAGGACCAAGGTTTAATTACTCTGTTTATTAAAAAAGAAACTAACCATTAGTTCTATGAGGAAGTTGGGCCAGATTCAAAACTAAAATATATACAAAAGCAACTGAGTTAATACAAGTTGATGGCAGTTAGGAAAGTGACACGTGGCCAGTAGGTGAGTGGAAATGTCTTGGCTCCGCTGAATGAGGAGGCAATATCTGGGCCTTCAGGCTAGAGTAGACTGTCATTTTAATTTCAAAAATCACAAAATATTTAGCCTAATTGAGGCTATAAAGTAACAAGTAGCATGATCTGGTCTTGTGTTCCGTTCCATTCTCCAAAAGCCGGATCCTTGTTTCCTCCAATTGTTTGCCAATGCTTAGAAAGTCAGAGTGATATAATGAGTTTTCTTTGATATTGAGGTCTCTCCAGTCTTAGTGCAATTTCTTTATCCCTAGGGTATAGGAAATGGAGGAGCGGGATCCACCCATACTTCATAGTTACAGTGTACAGTTAACCAGTGTTGGCCAATGCGCTCTATATGCAATGTCTTTCTTTCTTAGGATAAGTCTATGAGGTAGGCACTATTTATACCCTATTTCAGATGAGACAGACAGTAAGAGCCTAGAAAGGTTAAATAATCTGAGCCCAGGTGGGCTAATCCCCACTGCCCCCGCCTCAGTAGTACTCAGCATAGAAGCAAGTTGAGACATTTATTGCCTTCTGCCAGCCCCCTCCTGCCTGCTGAAGCTAGGAGTAGATGTGCAGTTTCAGGGAGCCGAGAAATGCCCAGGGATGTTAACAAGGCTGATCCCGGGCTCCCCCCTCGGGGAATCCGCAGCATTTTTACTATTATTCTTTAGAGACAGGGTCTCATCTCACTCTGTCGCCCAGGCTGGAGTGCAGTGGTGTGACCAAAGCTCACTGCGGCCTCCAACAATTGGGCTCAAGCGAGCCTCTTGCTTCAGTCTCCGGCGTTGCTGGGATGACAGTCGTAGGCCACCACGCCCGGATCATTTTTTAAATCTTTTGTTGGAAGGGGTCGGGGAAGGGAGACTCGCTGTGTGGCCCAGCTTGGCGTGGGGCTCCTGGGCTCCGGCCATCCTCCCATCCCGGCGTCCCAAAACACCCGGCTAAAGCCCTGAGCCGCTGCGCCCAGCCCCGGCGTATCGACAGACGCCCTAAGCGATAACCTGGTTGGGGAAACGCGGCAGCAGAGTCGACCGAGCATCGCGGGTGCCCG